AACACACAGCCTCGTACAATGCACGCGGCTGGCAGGAGGCTGCGCTTGTTTATTACACACAAGAGGCGTCGCTTAAAACCCAGAATGCCACCCAGAGTGCTCTATTATCATCCTCGCCCTGCGTCTCCTCAAAGGGCCACCTGTTAGCAGCACATGAAAGTCTGAAGGAGGAAAACGGTGTGCTGCTGTGCACAGATACTCCCTCACCCTCCCCTTCACTTGACAGGTCTATTCAGGCCTCAGATTTGATATAGGGGGGGAGGGAGGTGGTTCTGTTTCTATGGAAGAGTTATTTCTTTTCTTTTTGTGAGAAGAAAAATGATTTCGTTGAAGGGTGATGTTGTGGTATTCCAGGGCTTTTTGCTCTTATCTCCAGTTCCGGTGATTGTGCTCTGTGTCTCTCCCCCAGTGCACTGTTAGCCCTTATAAAGCTGCTCCAAAAGCATATTTCTGCGCTCATTTAGAAATATTTCTACAAATGAAAAAATAATTTTGCTGAACAAAGTAAGTATATAATTTTATATATTAAGAATAGAACAATTGCAGGTCCATGGGTGATTTTTCTAACAGGTTCATGTTTATATTCTTAGATGTATTTTTTTCCTTTAATCAGTTAGAGCTCAACCTAACACCGACACGTAATATTTGTCTCTATTTTTGCGTTTAAAGACGTGGTTGACTGAAAACCCACTTGTTAAAGATTATTCCTTTCTAACGGGTCACTCTTGAGTGTTTCATGCAGGCTGAACATGAAATAGTCTCCTACACCTATCTCCTGCATTAGCTTCTGATAGAAAACAGACGGTGAAACTCTAGGATTAGAAAATCCTGACAGATCTACGTCACACTGTCACTAACATTCATGGACTCACCCATCTGGACTCACGGCGGGGAAGGCTGTTGTTGGTTTAGCGTCCAGGAAACCGCAGAGAAAGTCTAGACTAGTTTAAGCTAACTATTAGCATTAGCAACTTCATCACACGGCAGAAACTCCTCCAGGCTTTTGTTATTTTTGGAGACAAACCATTCACGTTGCAAGTTAGTAGTAGAGTCGAGTTGCTGTCATCCAATCATCGTCCCAAACCTGCGTCTGAAACTCAGCTGTGATGTGGCTCATTGTTTGTTAGCATCCTGTTAGCAAACATAATTCTGGACTCTGTCCGATGAAGATATTTATGACTATTAAACATGTCTCACTCCCAGTGAATCACAGACACTTGTTCGTTAGCATGCAGGGCAGTGCAGTCCCTTTCATTTACGTACATTAACTGTTTCGAGCTTAACGATATTTTGATGTGGTGTCAACAACAACATGCGAGCATCTATAAGGAAACATGCACTGTGGTGCTTGAGATGAAATTATGAGGAAGATTTTTTTTCTGTTCCTTCTCAAACACTACAGGAGGTCCTCTAATGGAGATGTGTTCTCGGGATGCACAGAAACAGGAGAAGAGTGTGTTTTTGTGGGGAATGAAGCTTTTTGACAAGCGCTTCAGCAGGTTGGAAGTGGAACGTCCAGCTGCATTTTACAGTCGACCTTTTTGCTAGATATCATCTGAATGCATAAACTGAAAGTGGTCAGGCAGCTCCTCCAGAACACTTCTAGAAAATGAGAAGACTCAAGGTTTTACTGGAGATGATGACGAGGTTCAGAAACATTCCAGTTTGAATGATGAAATGGGGATTTTCTGTCTGGCAGCTGCATTGTTCGTGTTTCCATCAGTTTTTCAGAACACATTCAGGTCTGCACTTGGTTGACTGTAGAAAGAATGACAAGAAATTCAAACTTTATGTACTTTTCATGATTTGTTACTCTTCTTGAAAATTCAACCTTTTGGCATTCAGCGCCAGCAGCACTTCAAGTTGATGTTTGACTCTCCGTTGATCTGCGTTCTAGGCGTGTCCTAATCCCTACTTCACACTGGAGGCATCGGCAGCGTGGAATGGTTTACTCACGAGTTTCGCTGCATGCTAGTACACACTGGAAAAATTATTTTAGGTTTTGTGTGAAAAGACGTAGTGGACCACAAATGCTCGTCAAACCAAATTGATGTCATCAAGCCAGACACGGAGAGGAGAAGAAAAATGGCTGAGTTTAGTGAGCTTCGAGTCCTTTCAGGACAAAAGAAGCAGCGCTAAATGTGGAGAAAAACACAATAGAAGGAGATTAATGTATAGTTCGTGTGAACATGATCAAGATTTATTAAAATGGGGAAATCTTCCATGGGGGGTATACAGTGGGGGGGACGGTCTTGGCCACCCCTCGGGAATAACCCTGATTCACACACTGTAACGACTCCAGTGCCAGTCCTGTGTGTGTGGTTGGATTACTGATCCGACAGCAGTTGAGTTTAGGATCCATCACATCTTTACCATAGCCAAGTTAGCCATGATGGATTTCAATGGCTTTGAGGTTCGTCTCGAATCTCAAACTTTGAAGGACGTTCCAGGTGATATTTCCTAATTAGAACGTGTAAATTCTCACCGCTGAGAACAAACGAAGCCCAGCGTTCTCACCATTGCTGATTGAGGCCAGAATCATCCAACCCTAACCCTAACCATCACCCTCTCCACCCAGCACACACACCTACAACAAACTGCCGTTTTTATGTTTTTCGGTTTCCAGAAAGCCCTAACTCAAGCCCAAGGGTGTGCTTCTTTCAGCTTAGTGTGATGAAAGACCAAAGACCTTATCAGGCCCCCTAACTCAACCTCAGAGGCTCGGAGAGAACACACTCTCACCATCACTAACAGCTCAATACTTCTTGCTTATTGATTTTCTGTATGCCCTGCACAGCAGTTTGTCTTTTAACACAAAGAACCCGCTAACACAACAACACGACCGCTCTGTGTGTGTCTGTGACGACGGATTGCTTCAGTTTAAGGAGGACGAAAGAATATTTCACCAACAGGATGTAATATCAGCTTTAAATAGAGAAAAGGTGCTCTCCTGCTTAATGTTTGGTGTTCTGAATATGAAAACAAAAAGGCCGGGCGGTAACTTCAGTTCGACACTCAGACACACAACAGCCTGTGTATCGGAGCAGTCAGTTTTTAAAGCCACGGTTGATCCGATGCTTGATTGAAGTGCGTTTTTCTACATTTATTCTCTGATTAATGCCATTCAATGTCATTGTATAGAATATAATTCTAAACTAATACAAGATTTCTTATATTTAAACAAGAGCAAAACAGCTGCTGCACCAAAACCAGAAAAGAAATCCTGCAAAAACACGCCTGAGAATGTGAATGAGTAGATTAACGGATTTATAATACAACTGAGATGAGAAAACAACACGGAAACTTCAGTCAATACTGTAAGGAATATAAATAAATGGCCACTGACATGAAATCAGATGTTGCGCTGATGCTATTCTGCCTTAAAGGAACCATAAATGGGAAATATTCCCTCAGTGCTTTCTTCTGAACACAGCTTTATTCCTGTTTGATTGAGGTGATGCAGTAATAATGCAGATCTATAGAACCTCATGAATCAGTTTGGTCACACCTCACAGACATGTTGACTTTAGTAAATTACAAGGTACAGTTGGAGGGCTCTCCCCAAATAGACAGGGATGATGTGCTCGTATGGTGCAGTGACTCGTACTGAATAAGAAGGAATCATTACAGAAAAGAACCTGTTCATCTATTCATTATGTTCTAAACCTTCTCTTGATGAAGGAGATGATGATGAACTCACGATGACTGTAGAGTAAAAACCAATTTAGCTAAACATCACATTTTTACTGTAGTTAAATATTCACAGCAAGTCTGCAGTCAGCAGAGAACCCGGCGTGTCCCTAATTTGTTCTACTCAAACAGAACCGGTAAACCAGGGGCGCCTCCAAAATTTTTGATAGGGGTGGCCAGATGGGACCAAAGAAATTTTTGGGGTAGCACAACAAATTGGTCCTTGTGGTAACTCTGGGAGAATTTAGCCTGTGGCGATGGACTGCATTTTACCTTAATTCATTTTTATTAAAATAACAGTATTTATCCAAAACATTTAACTTAAATTTTACAAATGCAAACATTTTAGAAAAAACATTTCAGTTATTTAAAATGTTATCCCAAATTTTATTTAAAAATATTTTTTTTCAGGTTTATTCACCTGATGCTGTGTTCACAAAAAGCAACTATGGAGATAAAACTTTTTTTTAAATAGTGAGCAACAAAAACATGTATTTTTTGTTATTCAGATTATTTCTTTACTCAGTAATTGTATTATTTTAATTTTGTTTTACAATTATGTCTTGAATATACAAGATCAATATATGGTTTGACTGAACATTAATATGATTTGTTAACACTTGCTTTTCCGGGGGGGGGGGGGGGGGGGCACCCCTTGGGGGCACCCTTGCGGTAAACAGGATGGAGTTAGCAGATGTTTGCTGGTTAGACTCCAGTTGGAGGTCAAGCGTGGTGCTTTGATGCTTCACAGCGCTGGTTTAAGTGGTGAAAGTCACCCAGATAATCTGCATGTAAACATCAAGCTGATACCGATAACCCCGCTGTTTGTCAAGATGAGTCCGTAAGCTTTTCTCTCCTGGAGATTTGGAGTAGAAGCAGGCCATCATGGAAGGCGGTTGTCACTGCTGTGATCTTCTGTGTCTTTGTCTGTTGACGACAAAGACACAGCCGCTCAGTCTAACATTCCGCAAACACTAGGGTTCGAATTACGGGGAGCTAAGGGGATCCCGGCTCCCCTCATATGGGGATGGGCTCCCCCAAAAGCCATCAACTGACCCATCAAGTTTGAGCCCCTCGTTAGCTGCCACTGAGCCCCACGTACACCCCCTCTCTTACGGATATCAGACGGACAGCTACCCCATCTTACTGTGTTTCCTACAATAATCACAGAATAGAGTCAGAGTATCACTTTTAAATGTTTCTAAAAACTCATACATAAATGCTGAAAGAGAAAACTCCAGATTTCTGTTTTAAATAAGGTTTACCTGAGAGGTCTTGAAGTACAGACACGTGTTTTCATCTCTCTGCAGATAGCACTGAAAATGGCACTCTCCTGGAGGCTGCTGCTGGCGTTCCTGTTTGCCATCCTGGCTCTGTCACATGGTGCGGATCCTGGAGCTCCTTATGACAAGAGGAGAAAGGCGCAAACTTCGGCAGGAGGCAGCAATGCCCTACAATACCCTCCTCAAGCCCAGCAGAGACCCAGCTACAACAGGGATCGCAGCCAGAGGAGCCGCTCCAAGGCCGGAGCTGGGCTCCTTTCCCACAGGACCCTGCACCCGCTGCCCAGACCCGAGGATGATGGGACAGGTCTGGAGGGTCTGAGCCCGGTGAGAGTAGAAACGGGTCCCAGCAGGGATAGAGCTCGACAGAGTTTGAAAAGTCGGCCCATGGCTCAGGAAAACCAGCTCCTGGGGATGCAGATGGGAGGAGGGAACAGGCATGGACACCCGTTTGAGTACAAGAGACAAGGAAGCAGGCGTGACAAGATGCGACACAGAAAAGGTGAGCTGCAAATAGATTTGTGCAAGTCGCGTACTGGACTGGAAATAGAAATGTCTGTTTCACATTTGTGATTTAATGTTGCACATTAAAGCGTTTTAGTTCATTGTTAATTATAGGTTTTTACTTGGTTGTGTTACCCAACACAAGATTCAGATCAGAAATAAATGATAAATAATGCAGTTCAGAAGGTTTATTAATGTGAGACAAACACTGTGAGAGCTCAAACTCCCTGACAAATGCATAAAGGAAGATCCCACTATTATTGAAAATGACATATTATGTTTTAGGTTTTATCTGAACAAATCATTGTTCTACTCGCTCAACTGAAAGCTACAAAATAACAGCAACAAATCTCATCAGAGATGTTGTTCTGGATCCTGAAAATCCACAGAACCAGACTGTGAAGCCTTTATGTGCAGCTTTATGCACCAAAACATTATCACTCACAACACCACCCAAACGGGAACTGTGCTTGGATGCAGACAGACATCATTCTACGCTAGCCTGGCAAGCCAGACTAAATAAATGTATTATTTAGTCTGGCAACGCTCCATTGACGGCTCTCGGTTGTGGGGCAGGTTCTACCGTTGTCTTTCAAATGATCTCCGCATGTTACTGGACATTGTTCACCGCAACAGCCATCGGTACATGAGGCGGTCCGCACCTGAAGAAGGAGAAAAGACATAATATTTTCTAAAAAAAAAGGCACTTAAATGCATCTATCTGCTCCTGATTCTAATGAAGCCCAAGTTCTAATAGTCCAAAATTGATGTAAAAGCCGTTTCAAACGAGCTGTCGCCATCTTGTTTCACTCTGTTACATCATCCCACCCACCAGGCAAATAGAGTGCCCTGATTGGCCCACGAAGCGGATAAAACTCCGTGATTTGTTCACTAAGCAGATAGAGCAATATGATTGGTCCACCCTTATGGACCAATCACAGCTCTTTATGTGTTTGAAACCCCTCTAGAGAGCTGTGATTGGCCAGCCAGAATGCTGTTGGGGCTGCAGAGGTTCCAGTGGAGCGTTCCAAGACCAAACTTTGCAAAGCAAAAATTTGGTCTAGTTCACAAGGCTAATTCTACGCTGCTTTTTTAATGAAATTGGTATTTTTTTTTCAAGGGATGAGAACTCAGATCCAGGGCTCCAAACTCTAAACATCTGGTTTATTTTATTGAAAATCTGACAAAAAAAATAATGGAAAACCTCCAAAACCTCTTGGAAATAAGAAACGGATAAAACGTCAGACAACAACATCTTTAAACATGTTGGGTAACTATTATCTGAGCAAAGGTTTGAAAGAAATTAAAACAGAAATTAAATCTAACTAACGTTACAGAAAATCACCACAGAACCAATAAAATGGCAGATGTATGATTTTGTAGTGGAAAACATTTGTTAATTATGACCAATAAGATGTGATATTCCATACAAATATGAAATATCAATCTGATTGATCTTTGAATGTTTAATCAGAAGATTCTAGGGTTCTTTGCTTCTTCAGGGACCATAAATACACTCCGTATTAATTCAGACAGAGTCAGTATATAGTTTATAAAATGAATTTAATTATTTTTCCTAAACTAATAATTTATACATGACAAGATATGAATAATGAGATGTGATGTGGTGGATGTGAGGTGTTGTAGCAACCGTTCTTTGTATCTAAGAGAAATTGTGAAATCTGGGTGTAAAAGAATTTGTTGTTTGTTATAAACTAGATAGTTGTTTATTAAAACAGCATCAGGCGCAATCTGTTGTGCCAAGTCTACGCACCCTTGGTGTGGAGGTTCTCGTTCGATCTGGGGGGTCATGCGGGTCACTGCCGGTGGAATGAACCGCTGATGTCAGGAACCCGTGGATAGTTCCGATAGGACCCGTCCAGTCTGAGATCCCTCGAGGTGAAGGCAGGAGGCTGGAACACTTATTTGCATCTAAGGTTGATGTTTGCTTGGCTCTTAGAGAGCCGGTCGTCTGGTATCAGCCGCAGCGTTGCAGAGAGGCTTTCACAGGAGGTCAAAGGAGAAGATGGTTTCAAAAAGGCTTCATTCCCAAATTGGCCGGTTCAAGGGTCAGCGAGTAACTGAATTACTCAGGAAGTAATTCTTGTTTTATTAAACTACTTTGTTTTGATTGTTGGCCAAGTTTGGCCAATCAGAATTTGACACATTTCTGAGTCTTTACCAACATCCCTCAGAAAGCCACGCCCTCCTCAGATACAAAATTCTTAACATGTATCTTATTGTAATGTGTATGAGTGTAGACAATGAGTAACTTGTTAAATCAAACACAAACTGATTTGTGATATAGATGGATCATTGTAAGAACAATATTCATTTCAAAGTCATTGATTTAAGCACAGATTATTCAAACATTTCATTTAGCATAGCATAGCATAGTTTATTTATATAGCACATTTAAAATGCAGCATGGGAGCTGCCCAAAGTGCTGCACAGGCTAAAACAAAACACACCCATTACAAGGAGCTAAAACTAAGGATAAAATCTCAATTAAAAGCAGAGAAAACATGAATAATAAGAACACATTAAAACAATGACACAATAAAACACTAAAACGAGTCACTGTCTAAAAGCCAAAGTGTAAAAGTGGGTCTTTAAACGAGATTTAAAAACCGCCAGAGATGGAGCCTGCCGAACTCCAATGGGCAATGAGTTCCATAGCTTTGGGGCAGCATGGACAAATGCTCGTTCACCCCGCGATTTGAGCCTCATCCGCGGCGTGTGCAGCAGCAATAGGTCAGCCGACCTCAACGAGCGGGTGGGCACATATGGAGTGAGAAGGGCAGAGAGGTAGGAAGGTGCCAGGTCACTGAGCGCTTTAAAAACAAAAGTCAGTAACTTAAACTGCACTCTGAAAATGACAGGGAGCCAGTGAAGATTTAAACATCTTGTTCATTCATCACATATGATTATTTAAGCTTACGAGTTGTAAAATCATGGCGTCTTCACTTATTCAGAGTGAAGAATGTTGACGTCTGGCGTTCATGCTGAGAGTGCAAGAACCTTGGGATAGAAAGTTTATGGCTGCGTTGAGGAACAATAAGTGAGCAAAGGGTTGTTTTGGGAGTCCAGATGGTGTTGCTGTGAAAGGTGCATAAGGTTATTATGTTGGTGAATATATAGGTGAAAATTGACCCTTTTGGTACGTTACAGTTTATAAATTTTGTTATCTCTGATGGAGTTGCAGAATAAATTAAAATCTTTACTTTGGAGACTTGTGAAAGGATTTGGCCCTGTAGGCCTCCTTGTGACAAGGTTGAGAGGAAACAGACTTTTTTGTATTGTTTCATTTCCACAACTAAAGCAGAAAAATAAAACCCAGTTTGTAGAAATCGATTCTTGGAAAATATGTCCCACTTTGTGTTCAGGGTTTCCTTCAGAGCCTGAGTTCAGCGCGGCGTTGAAGGACAGAGACCGATTTGAGGATTCTCCCCCCTCCTTGTCCTCATCGACCACCTCCCCCTCTCTCAGCATGACCCCACCCATTGAACCTCCCTCCCCCATCATTAGCCTCCTTGGCTCTGGCTCCTCCGTGGTTACCACAGCGACGAACGAGCATCCCCCAACACTGCCCCCGGCCTCCACCAAACCCCAGGTAACCCCAGCAAAACTCAAGTGCTTATTAAAGGCTGTCTGTTGTGTCTCGGTGTGATTCCAGTCTGAAAGCGGGGCCCGTTGCTGTTGTTTTGCTGCCACAAACCTCTCAGCTCATCTCTCACCAGAACCTGCTGCTGGTGAAAAATGTCCTCCAGCCGTCCAAACCTGTGGAGTAGTGACGATGATCCTAATAATATGTCCACACCTCAGCTCTGAGTCCAGCAGCACATGTTACAACAACCACCTTTTAGTTCCTGTCCTATAAACCAATGCAGAACAAACTGTGTGAGCAAAGATGGAGTTTTTTTATTTGTTTATAACTTTTTATTTATTTGTCCCTCTCCTCCTCGCTGTGATTACATGTCATGGAAAAGCTACAGGAGTGCAAAAGCTAGCGCTCACCACCTGAATGAGAAAAACAGACATTTATTGGCGGCTAATACCGGAAACCTGCGTGGAAGACTATTTCTTATTAAACTCAGAGTGACCGACATTTCAAATATAACAGTTAAAAAAACAGTTTCTCAGTGAACTTGGTCTTTAATTTTAACTTGATTTATTATTGTGTTGATGATTCAGCAAGCTGTTGCCCCCTGCAATGAATCTAATAGCCACAAAACCCGTTTCCTGATGAACAAAACAAAAGTATGGATCTGCTTCGGTGAGGAGCTTCGCTCAAAGTCCTGTTGACTTGATTATATCCTGAATCATTTGTCTGCCCAAAGAGAAGAAAATGACAGTAGAAATGTTTTCATTGCAACAGTGATGGCTTGTGTCGCTGGGTTGGCTGATTTGTGAGGAAACTAAATCCCATAAATGATGCTGGAATAACAGCTCCAGACTGCGGATCGCCTGCAGGTAGCATTCATTTCCTTCCACCTCCAATAAGAAGAATCAGAGTGCTGTTCTGGTTGATGAGCTGTAAGTTTCAACCTGTAAACGGCGCATGTATCAGTAACACTGTTGCTGAGTCAAGTTTATTTGTATGCCGGTCTGCGAGCAGTCGTTCTCTCTGCTGCTAACGTCGTCGTCTCTTCAACTGCATTTTATGAACCACTGAAACATTTGGGCAACCTGCTTCAAAAGAACACCCTGAATATGTTTACCTGCAAATGCAACAAACCACTGCTGCAGTTTGACCTCAGCTACTAGAGAACCAGTGTCTCAGCAGCCACTCAGAGACCAAACAGACTTATTCACTGATGAATATCTTTATATTCACAATTAAAGGAAAGGGCTCCCAGAGTTTAAAGCCACATTGACCTTGCTGTTGTTATATGTTGGCAGCTTCGGGTGTCCATGTAGCACACAACAGCCTGAGCTGTCTCAGACCTGCTTTCCAATGCTAATCAGTAACGATGTAATGGCCACAAAGAAAGGGTTCGTTGGGAAAAGGTGGTTTAACACATCATAACCATAAATGCAACACTTTACTTTTACATATCCCAGCCCAATTCAGCGTTGGCTGTAAAACATTAGTTGTGATATTGCTAAAGCTAGCATGAGCTAATGCAAAGAACAACGCTGGAGCACTAATCAAGTTCCAGGATGTGCTGGGAATAACAACTTTAAATAAATGCCAGATAGATCCACAGCTTGTCCTCCTCCTTGTTTACACAAACACCCTCTACAACCCTCCGGAGAATCACTTTGCCTGACACTCTCTTCATTCCTCGGTAATCCACACTCCACACGCACACCAGCAGACATCGGCCGGCTCGACATTTACCTCCTCCTTAGTCGTCGTCGTTGTCTTCCTCCGCTTATCCGTGTCCGGGTCGCGAGGGCAGCATCCCAACTAGGGAGCTCCAAACCGTCCTCTCCCCGGCCTTCTCCACCAGCTCCTCCGGCAGGACCCCAAGGCATTCCCGGACCAGATTGGAGATGTAACCTCTCCAACGTGTCCTGGGTCGACCCGGGGGCCTCCTGCCGGCAGGACATGCCTGAAACACCTCAACTGGCTCCTTTTGATCCGGAGGAGCAGCGGTTCTACTGCGAGTCCCTCCCGAATGTCCAAGCTCCTCACCCTATCTCTAAGGCTGAGCCCGGCCACCCTACGGAGGAAACTCATTTCGGCCACGATGAAATGTCTACAATCTAGCTGTAGTTGTTGTGCCGTAACAAATGATTATAAATGATTTTCAGAGACAAGGACAAGGAGAGGTGATGCCAACCCTGGACATGGCACTCTTTGACTGGACAGACTATGAGGACATGAAGCCTGTGGACACTTGGCCGTCTTCAAAGAAGAAAGGTTGGTAGTGAGACTGTGAGTGTGCATCACTAAAGATTTTAACGTGAGGTGAGCAGAGTTTAATTAAACTCTGGTTGTGTTTTTGGAATCAGTCTGAAACCTTCAGAAGGAGGAACTGAAAGACCTCTTCACCTACACGCTGTCATGTTTTTTTTTATGGAGCAATAAATTACTATTGAATGCTAAACATATTAGAAGTGTTGATATTTTAACATGAAGAAACAAGAAAATAGCTAAGAGTCATTAGCAGTCATCGTGGAGAAAATGTTCTCCAGTGAACTTTACTTTAATCTTATCTGACAAGAACTTGTAACCTCAATAACTTTAACTGTGGGCAAAAGGATTGCTAGTGTTTTTTATAGCCATTATTCACATTTAAATGTAAAACGCCTTTAAAACTGTAAAGTCACAGTGAGCAGTTTCCTGCGCCTCCACCTTACTGTCATAACTGTAGCTAGCACTAACAACGAGCTAACACTAACATGAGCCAACTAACACCAAAGGGAAAAGATCCACACTGTTGGACAAAAATATTATTACTTACAAGTCCAGTAGCAACAAAGCCAGGTCACCATCAGTCTGTGATTTTGTAGCCTCCCTCAAACTAGCATTCGCCTCCAAAGAGCAGATTTCTTCTTTTTCTTCTCTTATGTTTTTTATTGACAATTTACAAAATGAAATTACTAATCGCTAGCATTACAGCTAGCAGCCGTAAAGCAGGTAAAGAGCGCCCCCCTAGGGCACCTACCTACTCCACAAAGCTGTCCAGTGAAGTTTTGGGTCAGCAGAGGGATAGAGAGTGGTGTCAAATATGAATCTGGTCAAGTTTCTAATTCAACTATCACTGAGCTCAACGTTAACGCTCTAGCTGAACGTTTAAAAAAAACTATCTGTTGTTACTTTGAGTATATGTTAGGAGAGTATATTAAATGGTTAAAGTTTGACATAGATTGCTTCTTTTACTCCTCTCTCAAACCATTTACCTTCTCTGTCCAGAATGTGTACTTTGTCATTTTAAACATGTGTCCCTTGTCAAACGCGAAAACACACTTTAAATAGGGGTGGGGGGAATTAGAGTTCACCTTTCCAGTACCTATAATGCAGCTTTAAATCCCATTCCTAAGCAGCACTGAATATAGTTTTCTGCTGCAGACAAAAGACGGAGCAAGAACCTCAGCAGTGGAAACATGACTGTGGGCGGTGGTGCAGTGGAGCCGTGCGATCACCACCTGGACTGCCTCCCAGGTCAGTGAAAAAAGGTGTTCAGCATTTACAGACATTGATTATTTATTTAACAAGCACTTCCTGTCACCTGTGCTTGGGTGATAGATTTTTAACCTGGTGTGATTTTTTCTGCAGAAGCATCAAAGACTGTAAAAGTGTCCCTGTTTATTGAACTCTGCTGGTAAAAGTTTCTTGTTTCTGTTTTGCACGAGGTTCCTGTTGTGATCTGAGACAACACGAGTGTACACCTCACAACAGAGGCCTCAACAACAAATGCTATGATGACTGCATGTGTGAGGAAGGTGGGTGAGGAGAAAATTAGTGTTTCTCAGTTACGCACAGCAATATCGACCTTTGAACCCAAATCAGGACTACGAACGTTTTCAGGCTGCAGGAATAAACATGTTTAGGACGACTGAAGAATGAGATTAAAGAGAACACTGAGGGACCGTTTTAGATTAGCTCAAACATAACAATGAATGAGTGGTTTTATTGTTATTGCAAAAATGCAATTCTCACATCAAGAAGTTCACTCAAAACATATACTTGAAGTCCTATCATCACTCTGAGTTTCACATGCAAGCTAAATGTGAAAGTCATCTCCCACCTCCATGTCCAGCATTAGCCGCTGAAAGAAAACAGACAGGAAAACGCTCAGGTCAGAAAAAGCCACACAGATCTGTGTCATGATGTCAATTAGTATTCATGGACTCACCCATCTTGGGTCATGTTATTGATTTAGCGTCCAGGAGAGAGCAGAGCACGCCTCGGCTAGTAATAGCTAACCATTAGCATCAGTAACTCCACCACATGGCAGAGCTCTTTCAGGCTTATTTTTGGAGAGGAAACATCAGCTGGCAGAGTGAATGGAGACAGTGGAAGAGTTGCTTTTAGCCAATCAGAAGTGAGATGTCTGAATACCATGAATGTTAATGAGTAAGACTTGGGCGGGGGGGGGGGGGGGGTGACAACACAGCAGCTCAGTGCCACCAAAAATGTGACTAAAACTCAACAGGCAGGTGTGCAACTACCTGCTTTTTGAGGGAATGCAAACGTGTGACCGCCCCAAACGTGATTTGTGCACAGAGAGGGAGGGATAGTCAGATGGCAGTTTGATAAAGGGATCAGGATCCAGTCATTAAAACCGGGACATTCACAATGATTGGGTGAGGTGTTTCCAGGATTGTACATTTCAGAGGCAATTAAAATGATCCCCTTATCTGAAAAAAAAAACATTTCATTTATGGGTTGCCATCAGTTTTTTTATTTCTTTGAACAACCAATTCCTGACTTCAATCAAAGAGATCTTTCAATTCCTGATTGTTAAATGAAACTCCAAAATGCAGAGAATGAAGGAATAAGTTTCAAAGCTTTAGTGGAGGAATAAACCTCTGCAGTTTGCTTTTTTTTTCTAATTTATATTTGTAGTAACTTACTTCCTGCAATGATTTTTCAGGGTTTCGTTGTTATGCTAAATTCCACCGGAAGCGGCGCGTGACAAGGAGGAGGGGCCGCTGTGTGGCGCCGGACTCGGTCAGCAGTGACCACGGAGGCTTCATCACTATATGAGGATGAGGCGGAGGAGGAGCCTGAAGAATAACCACACCACCACTCTAACAAAAGCAACAGGATACACACAGCTAACAGATTCAACAATCTCCTCCTACTTTTTTCACATCAAATCTAGAATATTTACCAGTCACATTCAAACATCTGGTCAACTAACCCCCCCCCCCCCCCACCCCCACCCCAAAAAAACCAACTGCCGAATAAACTGGAAATGTTTCATTATGGAATAAGCCATGCATCCTATCCAGCAGAGTTTACGCCAGCATTGATAAACGAAGATGTATCGGTTCATCAGGTCCTACATGAACGTGTTTCTACTTGAAATCCCCTCAGCCACTGACCTTTCACCAAGTTAGCTTTGTAGATACGACAGATATTTAATGTTAACTGTTTAATGTGTGTCTTAGTTTTAAGCAAAAACAGGTTTTAAATTTAAAAAAAAGATTTTTTTACAAAAGGTTTCCGTTGAACAATTGAGAGCACACCAACTTAGACAGGTCTCGTAAAAGAAAATGTTCCATTTGTTCTTCTGCTTTTTAGAGGTTTCTGAAGTTTATTTGACCTGAAATGAACCAAATCATCTTCAAATCAAACAAAAAGGAACATCTAATCTAATAAACTTAACTCCACCTTCTCTCCTAAATAAAAATACGCCAAGGAGATTTTTAAACTGCTGCCACCATTCAAAGGTTATGATGTAGAAAATGTCTGTTTACTTTGCATTTATTGAGTCCTAATATTTGTTAATTGTTGTTATATTTATTCTTTACTCGAATATGGTGTCTGTGTTTTCCTGCATTTTCCGTTTTTGTCATTAAAAACTGAGATAAAGAAATGTGTGTGAATTTTCTCCTTCTTGGACAAAACATGATAGCATCAAAGATGAAATGTTAAATGGCCTTTTGGTCATTCACCCATTCACACACATTCACATCCTGATGGGGATGAGCTACAGTGTAGCCTCAGCTCCCCTGGGGTGCACTGACCACAGGCACTACCGGTCCCTCCGACCACCACCAGCGTGTCTTGCTCAAGGACACAACAGCAGGATTATCCGCTGGAAACCAGGATCGATCCAACCACCCTCCGACTGCTGGACCAACCGCTCTACCTCCTGAGCTACTGCCGCCTCAGATATTATATTTTTTCTTAATGAATAAATGAAATAACATTTCAAACTATAAAAAACTAAGTTGAAACCAAACTTTGAAAAACTGCCAATACTAATGTTTAAACAAACTCAAACTTACTTCAAAAACCTTTATTTGTCATTTACCCCAGCTATAGATGCGTAAGCAGTAACATAATAGATGCATTTTACCTGTGAGCTCCCGACACCAAGATAGTTTCAGATGCAAAACAGGAGCGAACGCATTCCACCAGCTAGGTCACGGTGCGACCCGAGACTTGTAGGACCGTGCATTTCCAGCCAATGAAGGGAGGTCTGCCATCACCCACCAGGCCCCACCCACAAAACCAGTTTTCATCTGAAACAAACAAAAAAATAAAGATTCAAACCAAAGAAAACATTTTGAGAGCAAAAATCAGAGATGCGCAAATAATATGTAATAGTTTCTTTCCGTTCAGAAAACAAAACATTTGGAGGAACTTTTGAAAGGCTTTTTGTTTCATTTCTTGTTTTTAACTTTGTAGTTTAGTTACATTGTTTATTAATCTATCGTTCCATTAAAAAAGAACAAAAACGGAGTTGAAACCAAGTTTTACAAAGTGCAAACAAAAAACATTTATACCAAAAATGTCTGTTTCTTTATTTCAATAACTTGTAAAGAAACAATACAACCTATTTAGAATTGCACCATGAACCAGGCCAATGCACATGCACGTGAAACATAAAAAACACAAAACTTCATGCATCTGGATGGAAAGCACTGCAGCAGTTTAGTAAAATACATGTACCAGAAAATGGGAATCACTCATTTTGATTATATTCAGTAAAATAAATTAAGACAACATATTTTTACAAAAGAACCAAAAACATTTTGTTCATGTTGATTTTGCTTCTTTACTTAAATGCATCAAAGTTAAAAAAAAAATAAAAGTTTTTGGTTCTAACACCATTACACTAAAGTACTTATTTAAACAGTACAGATTTACTGGAAGGTCTCTCGTTTTGAGAAGAAATAAAGTTTCATGTCTTATTTAAATGATTTTAAATCTATTCTGTGATTTCGGAGCCTTTTTTTACAGTTTGTTTTTTACAACAATGCCCTACAGAAGCCAAATCTGCCTCCTAGCTGGATGAAACATAAACCATGTTTTCAAAAATTTAATAATAATAATAATAATAATAATAATAATTATTATTATTATTATTATTATTATTATTATTATCTGTATAAATATTATATTAAAAGTGCAAAAAGTGACATTAAAAACTGACCTGATCAATGATCTACATCAATATTTAACTGATTGAAAATGAGACACATTTATCTCTCCTAAAGCAGCAGCGGGGTTAGATTAAGATTTTGCAGTCGTGATTCATGTCTGCAGAATAAAAGCATTACTGGTGTAATTTTAATACCCCAACAACAGAAAACTCTAGTGAATCGCTCTGAAGAAACCTGGCCAACAGCCACCTAAGGTGATAGATTACACTCAGCCACATCCTGCAAGGTTGGAACTGCTGCAAAGACATCTCTGCATAAGTTATTTTGAGATAATGAAGTTACAATCTTAAGCTAACTTTTCCAGCTCAAGGTACTCTCAAAGTTACAGGTACAGCAGTGACAAGAAGTTAGTGGAGTAAACAAAGCAAGAGGAACAGTGCAGCTTCTCCTGAGCTTCAGATAAAATTAAACACACTATAAATCATTCTGTGCAAGTAGTGACAACAGAAAGGAGAAAGATTTGATTATTACAAGTTCTGCAGCATTGTGTTTAAGTTCAGAAAAATACCATTCGCTCGTTTGTTTATTTATTTTTTTGTTTATTCTTTTCTACACTCTGAGAAATTAAACGGGGAAATTAATTGATCGAGTTATGTCAACTGGTTTCACCAAAACTAGTGGCTAAAATTTAAAGAGTGATATAATTTTACTTTTAACATAACAACGTAAAACAATGGATATTACTCTTTATGCAGTATATAAGCAACCAGGTTCAGTGGAACCAGTTGCTTGCAACTTCAAATAAATTTAACAGTTTATTTCTTAGAGTGTACCATACCATACCACTTTATTTGTAGAGCGCTTTTAACACGGCATTACAACCGACCAAAGCGCTGCACATAAACAAAATAAATAAAAACACAAGCTAGACCAACATGTAGAGCAACAACATTCTGCTTTGGTAGGTCTAGATTTCTAGGCTAACATATTGCACCTTTAAATACATTTCTATTCAAAATTAAACAAAAATAGTTCATGTTATTGATGCAGTTTCATCCATTTTTTCACGTCACCACAAGAAAGGCCAGTAAGTGATTCAGTCCACAAAGAAAATCCTGAGTCATGAGGGTTCAGAGGTGATCTGGGGTTCAGAGGTCACACCAGATTGTGCAGGGGCCATCTGTCACAGCCCATGAGTACAATGACTCATCTTTGTTACGGTACAACAGAACACAGGCATCAAGAACTGAATGGACATAAAATAACTGTAGTAAATGTGTGTACTTTTAAAGGTTGGCTACTAAAGGTCAATCATTTTAAATGTTTCATGAATAAAACAAGATGAACATTTTAAACTTGACCTGCAGTCAGAAATGTCTGCACACATAAATTTGACAAACAGTGGGGCTAATTGTGACTGAAGTGTAATTTTAGTTTGATTTTCTGCACCTAAAACAATCCTGTGTTAACTTCCTGTTTAATTCTGAAAAGCAAATTGATGTATTCATTTGACATCCTGTTGTAGATGTCTCTCACACCTGAACCCCATTAGCCATTACATCCTCCAGTATTTGCTTCTTTGTTTTATCTTCATCTCCTCTCATCTTATTTTCCTCTACTGTCGCTGGATTGATGCTAGCATGGGTTTACTAAATAAATAACTACACAAAACCTGAAACTAAGATTTCTTAATCAATAAAATTAAAGAAAACAGAACAGACACCAATCAGAACATCTCACAGTCATAATGAAACGAGACTAGTATTTTTAGAACATACCAACATTAAAATTGATTTGTAGATAATTTAGAAACCAGTGAGCTCCTGTTGGGGTCTGGATTTGTGGCTGTGACCCAAAATGTGGCATTTTCTCTTTGCTGGTTAAACATTTCTCAAACAGACACGCTACATTCCTAATCATTGGTGAGGGACGTCCGTGAGAGACGTCAAGTGGAGCTGTGGCTGGTGCTGGCCCTCCTGAGGTTTCCAGTGGGGTGGGGTGGGGGGAGTCACATGGGAGGCAGTCAGGCTGCTGTCATAAGGCTCCTGTTTGCAAGATCTGTTAAAACTGGAGGAGGGGTTTGTAGAGAAGTTTGTCCAACAGGAACAACTGCAGCATTTTTCATGTGGCCTTTCAACAGGTTGAATCACCGAAACGGCTCCAAAAACAAAGCTGCACTGACCAGACCGACTCATTATGGAAATCCCTGCCATAAACTTAAAGGTGAGGTTGCAGCTTTTTGATACATATTTAGTGTTAATGTGTGCCACTTGTGCTTTAAAGGCTTCAGTATTCGGGCTTTTATTGCCTCAGTTCTCAGGGTTAATTCCTCTTTTTGGCAACAGCCTTCCTGTGATGTAGACACAGAGCAGGAGGGAACTGGTCCTGTTGATCAGACAAACATGCTCAAATCAGCCATGATCGCTTTAAAAGGATCCCAATTTTACTGATCAGATAATCTGCTTTAGATGTAAAAAACGTGTGTTTCTTTAACAAAAACTGTGGCTTTTAGTAGAAAATGATAAATAATAGGTGGCGTTTTCTGTTCCAGGCCATAGTGCTGGTGCACTGGCTGCTGACTGTATGGTGAGTTTAAACTTTCTTTTTTCCACTTACCTGAGGAATTTCTCTGGTCTTCTCTCCACACACACACACCCTCTATTGGGTCAGCCTTCTCTCCTATACACACACACACACACACACGCACGCACGCACGCACGCACACACACACACACACCTTGCTTGTTGTGCAGTCAAACATGCCTTGTTGAAACTGTGTGGGCATGTGTCTTTGGTGTCTCCTCTTCAGGGGCTGCATGGTGTTCCTTCCCTCGTCTTATGCTTGGGGGAACTTCAGTGTTTTAGCCGTTGGAGTGTGGGCGATTGCACAGAGGGACTCCATTGATGCTGTTCTCTTGGTAAGACTTAGCCTTGATTTCTTTCTTTTTCTCTCTCTCACTCTTCAAGCGACAGTTGTCATGTGACACATGCAGAAGTCTTAACTGCAGACACGGAGCTGCATATTTGCGTCAACTTAACTTATCTGTGGAATTTCAGACACTCTGGGAGCTTCTTTTTGAAAAGATCCTCAGAACTTGTTTTGATGTTGCACCAAGAGCTGATTTCAGATATGTTTCTTTAAAGGTCTGCTTTACTCAAAATGTAATGCATTAGCAGTGGTCTCTAGTAGGACTGAATGCCTTGGAAGTCGTACTCTACGGAAAAAAGGATGTAGAATTCAGTTGGAGGAGAAAGTACCAATCCCAACACTCACACTTGCGCCCTTAAATAACACAATCCTAACCATAGGCGCGAGAGCGTAGGGTGTCCCGGTTCTCAGGTGCCGAAGTTGATCGCGCCTCTTTTGTGCGTCGATGCAGGCTTGGGTGAAGTGTATTACCCACAATCCATTGCTGCTTGCTGAAAATATGTTTTTTCTAATGAAATTTGTTAATTTTAGGATGATTAGTTGGTGCTCTGAAACTTTTAGACAATGCAGCAATGAATGTAAATTTATTTGAAATAACTGTTTGGCTGTTTGTTTGAAAGTTTTTTTTTTTTTTTAAGTATCACAGCGACCAGCATCCCGGCATGCGCCGCTGTCGATGACGCAATGCTCCCCGTCTCAATTCATCAATTATTTGCACACTTGTGTACACACTCAAAGCCTTACTGCTCACTTTCTCCAAGTGCAGTTTGCTGAAGACTGCAGTGCGAGTATTGGGATTGGGCCAAAGTTTCACACAACAGGATTTATAGTTTTATTTCCTGATATTTGCAGTTCTCGCCTCTTATCGGCTTACGGCATTGTGACTCTACCACTGACTCTGTTTGCTCTGCGACGTTGATGTTTTATCTCCACAAATGACACAAACCTGATGGAGTTCTGCTGTGTGGTGGAGTTGCTAATGCTAATAGTTAGCTTCTACTAGCTGAGACATTCTCTGCTGTTTTCTGGATGCTAAACCAACAACAGCCTTCCTCGTCGTGAGCCAAGATGAGTGAGTCCAGGAATGTAAGTGACAGTGTGACGTAGATCTGTCAGGATTTTCTAATCCTAGAGTTTCACTGTCTGTTTTCTATCAGAAGCTGATGCAGGAGATGGGTGTAGGAGACTATTTTCATGTTCAGCCTGCATGAAACACTCAGTGACTCATTAGACTCAGAAATAATAATTAAAATATGTTTTTTTTTCTTGTGAACGACACCTTTTAATAATTGAATTTTTTGCTGAGATTTTGGAGGAGAGCTAAAGGGAAACCCAGGGCACGTTGGAGGGACTATGTTTCTCGACTGGCCAGGGAACGCCTTGGGATTACCCCGGAAGAGTTGGCCCAAGTGGCTGGGGAGAGGCAAGGCTGGGCCTCTCGACTTAGGCTGCTGCCTCCGCTACCCGACTCTGGATCACAGCTAGACAATGAATGGATGGAAAATATTTTCTTGCATTAAATTCCAAGCAGTCAAAGAGTTTGCTATTAGCAAGATCCATCTTTTAACTAGATACCCAATCAGCAAATAATCCGGTTGAAGCAAATTTCTGTGCTTGTATTTGTGCGTGGTTTTTTCTTCTTCTTTGCGTTTCCTTGTGTCTTTGCATTTTTAATCAGGACAACTGTTTGAATCACTTTTTTGTTTCCAGCTGCTTTCATCATTGATGGAATCACATTCTATTCTGTAGTTAAAACGCAAGGAAGGTCAATCACAAATGTGTGTATAAAGTCCTATAAAGCTTCAATTCAATTTCAATTCAAGTTTATTTATATAGCGCCAAATCACGACAAGAGTCGTCTCAAGGCACTTCACATAATAAACATTCCAGTTCAGGTCAGTTCATTAAGCCAATCAGAAAAAATGTTTCCTATATAAGGAACCCAGCAAATTGCATCAAGTCACTGACTAGTGTCTGTGGCCGTGTTCGAGATAAGCCAGTTCTGCGCAGATTACATCAGCGGTGATCGGCGCGCAGTGCATGCCGGTTAAATTTGTGTCCGACTTGGCGCCGACTTGCTCTGACGTCATGCATACGTAGGCAACGATAACATCGTGAGATCAAGGCAGTCGCAGATTTTGGAGCAAGGCGCTGCAGTTGCTCTCCACCGGCTGCAAAACCTAGGGGATGACGGGAAACACCTGGCTCTCACCTGATCTAAGATCTGACTGGTTCATATTTTGATCCAAACATCCGGTGGTAGAATATGAAATGTTAGTTGGTCACATGTATTCTGTAAATCATGTTACGTTGATGATGACAACTATATAGGCCATAAAGAGAAATGTGTTTTGTTTTCTTTTGTCACGTTTCCTATGAGCACACTGAAGCTACAGCTGATAACCTTCACTTATTATTACAGTCATGACTTCATATACAATATATGATATCCACAAGCACGTGAGGATGTGTTTCAGCTGCTAACAGGCACCAGAATTAAAATTGAAAATTAAACAAGTGTGAACGCTAACGCGATATCTTCAGCCATCGTCACCCCCGAGCTACACATACAGGAAATTGTGTCCGACTTAAACGCCGGCTTTCAGCCACTCCCCCTGCTGCTTCCGTCTGCTCTCGTCTGTTTTCCAGGCGAGGCGCAGCTCAACTCGAACACGGCCAGTGACTTTACAGCAATCCTCATACTAAGCAAGCATATAGCGACAGTGGAGAGGAAAACTCCCTTTTAACAGGAAGAAACCTCCAGAGGATCCTGGCTCAGTATAAGCAGCCATCCTCCACGACTCACTGGGGATCGAGAAGACAGAGAACACACACGCTCGCACACATGCGCACACACACACACACACACACACACACCTGTCATTTACATGTGTTTTCTTGCTGTCCCTCTAGTTTCTAATGGGGATGCTGGTGACAATATTGACGGACATCGTGCATTTTGGGATCTATTATCCTCTGAATGACTTTTCGGCAGAAAGACGCTTCAGTGGAGGAATGGCGATCCTCAACCTGCTGCTCAAACCTGCTTCCTGTTTCTTTGTATACCAAATGTACCGAGAGCGAGGAGGAGATTACAACATCAACTTTGGTAAGTGGCGCTGAAAGCATCAAACTCACCGTTTTCCATGATGTTTTTAAACATAAAGGATGGATAACATGCAAGACTTTAAGAAGGCATGCCCACATCATCAACTCAAGGCTTCTAATTACATTTGAACAAACAAAATACTTCATTAAAATATGTGATTCTTCAATCAAATACATGATTTGATTTGGTTTACCCCAAGAACCAGTGAGATTATTTCTGTAAATATAATCTCTGAATTAAAGGAGCATTGTTCTCCCTGTGTCCAGTTTAGATCCCCCTCATGTTGTTTTACTCAAACTGGAGAATCATCTGCTCCAAACCAGCAGCAGATGATTCCACATCTCATTGGTTAGTCACGTGATTTATTTATTTATTTTTTGCTTCATCAAAATATTCAAGCTGCAGCTCGACTGTTTACAGAAACCCCACAAGTTCCTCATAATGTGTGTGTGAGTCACTCTGACCACGCGATCCGAGTGCATGGAGAAACGTGTTAAAGAAGCATGCAGGCTGTAAAATGAATGACCCGCTTTGATGCAGGAACAAAAATAGCTCGAGATGGATGTGCAGAAAGCAGAGGTGGCCACACAGAACCCACAAACAAAGATTTAGGTCATTGTGTAGATTCGTCAGACTGATCGGAGGCTGCAGGATCTCATTTATGTTGCAGACATCCACTTATGGATCTAACATCGCAGATCTTTGAAATTCTAATGACCTGGAGGCTTAAAATGATCATTCTTTGATTTGTTACCTGATGTCATTGAATTAATGTGATGAGCACATTTGGATATCAACTTCACAAAGAATGGAATCAAAATGAAAGAAAAAAAAGCGCTAGAAGACAAAAGGATGTTAGTGGTGAGATGCGAAACCTTGATGAAACCCATTTGTCGACTGCACAGAGGATAATTGAATATTGATGAATCTAGTTTCTTTATGGTTTACTTTGCACAGCAGGAACACCCATTAGACTGAGTTATGTCAGATGAAAGCAGCTAATGATCCTCTCAGACAGCGTTTGGGTTTTAATTGCAGCTAGATTGCTTTGCTGGCGTTGCACTGCTGAGCACAGTCAGGTACAAGCAACAGCTAGTTCAAGTCGACTATCACTAAACAAATCGGGATTATGAAAGCTGGGGTGCATAGCATGACGTCATCGTGGTGAGAAGGAAAAGATTTAGAAATTTGAACGGCTGAGAGCCATGCCTCACAAAGCTCTGTAGTGTGAACGCTAGCACTAAGTAATGTCTTTGATATGCTCCTGCTCAGACAAACCTAATTCTAACTGCTGAATTCAGCCTTCATCTGGTTGCAGCAGCTAATCACTCAGTTTAAACATATGTGGTGTTCAGCAGGGAAACCTCTAAAACGTGCAGGAATCTGGCTCTTCCAATGCTAGCACACCCTTGCTAATGCTGCAACAAGCAAAAACAGTCTGATAGCGTGAGATTGAATGCTACGCTAATCACTTAGCTCCAATACACACTAAATAATCGCCTCCCCTCCCTCCTCTTCTACAGGACTGAAATTTAGAATCTAGCTGAAATTTTCTTGTCAAGACAAAGGTTAGTAAAACCTGTCCATGACGCTTTTAACTCGAGTTAACTCAATGTTCTTGTTTTCAGAAAGCCTTTAAAATGATTTGCTGCTAAACTAACAGGGCTGACTCTGCTTCAACCACATTATTATCTGTGAAAACGATGAGCGGCAGCATTAGACATGGTCCGGCATTCATTGGTCAGTCATCCCGGAGGGGCTCGGAGTAGACCCGCTGCTCCTCCACATCGAGAGGAGCCAGTTGAGGTGGCTCGGGCATGTGGTCAGGATGTCTCCTGGACACCTCCCTTGTGAGGTTTTCTGGGCATGTCAAACCGGGAGGAGGCCTAAAGGTAGACCCAGGACAGGTTGGAGGGACTATGTCTCTCACCTGGCCAGGGAATGCCTTGGGATTCCCCCGGAGGAGCTGGCCCAAGTGGCTGGGGAGAGGGAAGTCTGGGTCTCTTGACTTAGGCTACTGCCTCCGCGACCCGACTCCAGATAAGCGGATGAAAATAGATGGATTGATAAAAACAATCATGGCTTGTGTGTGTAACAATTTTATCACTGATGAGTAAACCGTATTTGTCAGAATATTCCTGTTTCTTTTCCTGCATGCCGTAGAAAGTTCTCTTGCACATGTTCCATTCATTCTTTGTGTGCAATCTTTAGTTTTTGTGTCTTATTTTGATCTTTTTCTTCTTCACTGCTGATCTCTGTTTTCCTCAGACTTAGAGACCTCTGTGGACAGTCGGTGCACTACGGACAGTGCTGACAGTGCCTATTACGGCCGTCGTTACTGATTCCTGGCTTCTTCCTTTTTCCCTTCTTTCCAAATCACCCCATCCCCGGGAAGTAAGACGTCTGATCAGAAAGAAAGAGACTTTCTCTGTGTTTTGCTTTTTACTGGGTTCCATCATTTTGTTCATCTCTTTGTAATTTACATGAACTTTTTTACTTTCACCGTTTCCAGCCTGATCTCAGAGAAATTCAACATGCTTTGGCCTATTTGATATTAATTCAACAGTGGAATAGTGGTTTCACACGTCCGGCACCAGGAAACGGAGATTCAGAAGCTTTTCGGGTGAAATCCCATTTACGCTTGTCCTTTTTAGAGTTTTGTTGACTTTCACCAGCCTGGCTCTTCTTAACCCTTTTTACATGTTTATTCAGCTGTTGGCTTGCATGTAAAATGATGTATTTCTGTGCGACCAGCTGGCCTGTTTCCATCATCAGCAGCCCACATTACTGTTCCATTCGTTTTCCCTGTAAAGTGTCTTTTACTCTTTTATTTTGCATGTACTGAATATTTTATTCAGATTTTTAGTCTCCAGGCACCTCATTTGTTAGGAGTATTCTGGGATGTTTTTTATATTTTTTTATTGTTGGTTTTCAAGATCTGTGATGGCGCTCACTTTAAAGTGAGCCCAGTTGACTTATAAAACAAGCCTTTATCCTTACACGTGAAGCGAATAACTGTTTTTATTCATATTTGTTACATTTAGAAAGGATACCACAACCTTATGATGGTTAACTTCATGTGCCACAAATCCAACGTTCTTTATTTGATGAGAGTGCAAAACTGCAGGTTTGTCACAGAGCTGTGAGCGGAGAAGGGATGCGACGGTTTGGACTTCCACAAAAATGCCATTAATATTCTGACCTTGCAGAGTTGATGCTGTTTGCTGCAAAGCCTCACATAAAGTCCAACTCTGTTTCAGGATCCATTGTAAAGTTTGTAACTTCTAAACCCAACTGGTTTTTTTTATATATTAATTTGAGATCTTCTGAAAGTTCCCAACAACATCAGAAGCAAGCATCGTGAGTCGAGGTCCTGAATCATTCCAACCGTGTCACTAATCTATTTAAATGAATCTTTGAATGCTCCTTTAGTCCTGGAAACAAGATGCAAAGCTTGTTGCTCTCACAGCCACGTTTCTCCTCAGCTGGAGTCTTTTACTTCCCACAAAACCTAAAGTACCTTTAGCTGCCTGTCGAAAAAAGCACGCTCTTGGCATCAAAATGTGTCTTAAAATTCACAGCCGTCATGTGTGAAATCCATGGCGCTCATCAGACGGGATCAGAAAATAACTTATTGCTCCATCGACTCATTCATGTTTTATGACCGTATAGACCCCTGGACCAGAAGTGGAAGGGCGTGATTTAGGCTCCCAATAGAGTTGCTGTGGCGCCAAGGCCAACGTGATCGGATGTGAATGAAAAATGTCCTCAGACAAGATTTGAATGTTTTTGGCGTGTCTCTGCAGGGTTTCCCACTGTATCACGAAACAGAGATGCCTATCAGTCTATCGACCAGCCGGACGAGTCCTCGAGTCCAGCGAACCCCTTCAACCAGGCCCAGGACAGCAAACCAGGAGTCCGCGCTTACTGAGTCGAGCAGGACTTTACCAAAGCTGTCCTGTCCTCATGGATTCACATTGCAACACATGATGCACCTGTGAGATCAAAAGTCAAATCAAAACTTAAAATTTTGCTGAATAAACATCTGTTTGGGTCTCATAGTGTGTTTATGAGCTGAGTTGCTCTTGCGTTGGAAGAGGGACTCCTGAACACACAGTACGACGAAAGTCTCATGCTCTTTGTTTCGTTAGTTTTTTACTAATGTGGCACTTACAAACAACTGACTCCATGTTTAGCTCAAAATTAGGATGAGTTTGTATTCAGGACTTTACTGGGCAGAATGGTTGGAAGCATTGGACAGACTGGGAAATGTTATGAAATCCCCCAGATGATTTGAACAGCTAAAGCATTTAGGGGGCATTCTTTAAGAGGAAGCAGCTTTTGGCAGATTCACCTGCAATTTATTTATCCTAAAGTTTACTATCTGATAAACAACTATTTATTCTACTGCCATCAGACAAAAAAATGTCCGTTCTTTGCATAATGACCCCAATGATGAGCTCAATCTATCGTGCGAAGAAACAAACTTTCTGCTCTTAGACTCGTCAGCATAAACACTCTGTGTGTGTGAAGTCACTGTTTTAATGAACACAGGTCACACACTATGCTACACGTGTTTAGTTTTAACTAATTTAATCAGAAATGTTAAAGGTGTCATGAACTAAATATGAGTTGAAACAAATGTGCAGTTTCTCACATCATTCCAAAAGCATCCCTTGAAGGTTGCACTTTCAGGGTGCAAATTGCACAGCAGTGCTGCACAATAAAGATAGAGACCCTGTTGCTGCTGTCATTACTGGCCCGTTGCATCATTAAGATGTTTTTGTCATGCATTTTATTTTTTTATGTAGTTCAAAGTTCTCTCTTGGAAAACCTTGTAATCTGTGCGTTGGATGTGGTTACTGTGCTGAAATGACCTGTGATGTCATAACTTCCTTTTACCCAAATATGCAGCTCTAGTTTTGCTCTGTTGAATAAAAGCCTATAAAATGTTTTTCTGTCAACAGGAGCCACCTTCTGATGGGTTGTTTTATACATTTTGCTACGGAGACATTTCACCTGAATATCTTCTTTTGATATTGTCAAAACTGTTCAGCTCCACTAAATATTCTGCATTAAATGAATACATTTGGTACACCTCCTTTAATTTTCCAACATGAGACTGTTTCCTGCTTAGTTTGCATTTAATATTTCATGAAATCTCTTAGAATAAAGAAATATGAAATATACAGTTGCGTTGGTTACGTCTTCATGTGCAGCCTGTCAGAGCTGTAAAGACCATCCTGTCCGTGCAAGATGACACATTTATGTCCCAGCTTCCTTGTGTGAAACATTTTTCACACTCCAGAATGACATCACATCAACCAGCTTTTGTCTGTTAACTAAACTCGTACTTTCTGCACAAACCACACACTGCAACACACAACTTGGCACAGAAATGTCAAAATTAGTAAAGGGAATAATGAGAATTTATTTATTTTCCGCTCCCTCCAACACTGCAAGTATGAAAAGTGTCATTTTATATTTATTTAAGGACAAGGAAAAGCAAGTATTCCTCTGAGGATTAGGTGATTTTGTGCACACAGATCATGAAAATCCCCTAAAGGTTTTAGCCACTGACTATTTTTACTGTCATTAGGGGGTTAGAAACTCACCAATCTTGTCTGTGAGTTTTGCTGCCTTATGGGCTCTTAAGAAAGCACAAATAGAGGTTTTATTAACGCAGCTGCAATATTTATTCGTTCAGAAGCCATACCATTTTAGCTTGCAGCTTATGTTAAAGCAACAGAGGTTTTAAAGGTGCAGTATGTAAGAATAAAGTGAGAATTTTACTGTGAGAAAATCCCAAAATAATTGAATATTTCAGTCATTTTGGAAGGAAATTTCTACTGAAACATATTTCATATCAAGCAGGTTGAGGGGATTGCCATTGTCTCTCTTTTCAAAACAAAGGGAGGAGGGATGTAACAACTGTTTACCACCAGTGAGTGTGAGGGCGCTGTGGCTCCTGCGAGCTAATACTGCAGCACCCGCAACTGTAATTTGACAACAGCCGGCAAAAAGCTCCAGAGTTGTTTAAAGTGTTAGCAGTAACTATATTTTCCCAGAGTATGTCATTTTTATTAATGTCTACATAATGCACCTTTAACACTTCAAAGTAACACCAAGCAGTTTCCTGCTCCGCCGCCCTACTGGTTGAAATTATAATTACAACTGTCGGAAACAACCCTTCTGCAGCCTGCTGTAGCTAGCGCTGACAATGAGCTAACACTAACATGAGCCAACTAGTACTAAAATGAACCACAAAGTAAAAATATCCACACTGTGGACACAACAAAGCCAGGTCACCATCAGTCTGTGATTTAGTAGCCTCCTTTAGCTCCCTTACACTAGCTCTGCCGCTGTTCACTCTGGTTTTAGCTCTTGGCTTCTGGATCTAAATGTTGTGTTCTCTCCAGAAAAAACATCTTGGTGAATTATTCATGGTATAGTCTATGTATCTAACATTTTGTAAACTTACTCTCAGAAGGCAAAGTAACCTTTCAGAATACACAAAGGATGTTTACAAACTCATATTTGTTCTGTTCTCCTTGTTTTTAAAAGAAAACAAAAAGTCGCCTTCATAAAAAGTCACTAAGAATAAAAAACAGCCCATTTAAACAGAATGTTATTTCAGACAACTAAATAAACATTTAAAATATATTTGCATTTTGTTTTAGATGTTTTTTATTTCATCCCTCTTTGCTTTAGGCAGAGGACATAATTAATAGCTAACCCATGTGAACGTGTTAACAAATCATCTGTGGCGAGATCGATGAGGCAGCCCTGGAGTTGGGTTGGGGGGGTTTAGTGGACAGAGGTTGGGGTAATGCAGTCAGCGGCTCAACGAGCTGTTGATTAATAAGGAGCTGCTGGGCTGCCTCTCCTGAGCCTCGCATGCACACAGCTCTGACGCATCCCGAGGCTCACACCTGTGAATCCTCTGAGTCAAGGACATACTTTTACTCGCCGCCTACTCGGCTTGATGCAGAAAAACAAACTCAATTTTCCAGCTTGGCTTTTGCATCAGCGATGACGCCTGAAAGAATGAATGCATGAGCACACCTCGATGCAGTGAGATGACATTTCTCAAGTTAAACATATACATGTATGTCTGTAAATCGTTGAGGAAAGCTTTAACTGTCAGAAAACAGCACAGCATGTGCATCAGTTGATGAATAATTGTTCAAACAGCATAAAGACACAAGTTTTCTTCAGAGGTTCTTGCAGGATTCTACTGCTTCTGCAGGATCAGAACAATCCCAGTCTCCGTCTGGATTCACTATTTATGCTCCCTGATTCTCTCTGTCGTCATTTTTCATTCACAAAGCACAAAAACTCACCCGAATGCGGGCTTCACATTAGGCGGGCTTGAGAAATTGTTTGCATATTTAAAAATTATGAATAAATAAATGTAGAGAAAAACTGCAGATATACTTTGCTCTTGAGTTGTTTCTGCAAGTGTCCAGAGAGAATAAGAAACTCTGAAAGCAGCTATTTATTCATTTGATAATGAAATGATTAAGTCTACATATTTCTAAATTAAAGATGCAATTAATGAGTAAGAATTATACAGTGAAATAATTACAAAGAAGTCTAATGTCTCAATCGTGTTGGAAATAAGGTTAAACTGAGACAGATTTCATTCTCAGTCGACTGGGGGGTTGTCAGTTGTAGCGTGGGCACATCTACAGTTGTGGTCAGAGGTTTACATACACTTGTAAAAAATATAATATAATGGCTCTACTGAGTGTCCCGTTATTTCTAAAACTCTGATTTTTCTCTGATAGAGTGATTGGAACAGATGCTTCTTTGTCACAAAAAACATTCATGAAGTTTGGTTCTTTAATGTCTTTATTATGGGTTAACAGAGAAAAGTGATCACATTCACTGGGTCACAAATATACATACAGCAACATGAACTAGCAATTTTGGTGACTTAGAAACTTGCCAGTGAACTGAGCTTCATAGCATGGCCTCTTAACTTCTTGTGAGTGATTATGAGTGACTACAGCTGGTGACTTCTCTTAGGCCAGGTTAATAGGGCTCATTGGATACAAACGCCCACAAACGCTACAATGGGAAAGTCAAAGGAGTTCAGCATGGATCTGAAAAAGCGAATTATTGACTTGAACAAGTCAGGAAAGTCACTTGGGGCCATTTCAAAGCAGCTGCAGGTCCCAAGAGCAACAGTGCAAACAATTGTTTGTAAGTATAAGGTGCATGGCACTGTTTCATCACTGCCAAGATCAGGAAGAAAACGCAAGCTATCACCTGCTGCTGAGAGAAAATTGGTCAGGAGGGTAAAGAGTGAACCAAGAATCACCAAAAAGCAGATCTGCCAAGAATTAGAAGCTGCTGGAACACAGGTGTCATTGTCCACAGTCAAACGTGTTTTGCATCTCCATGGACTGAGAGGCTGCCGTGCAAGAAGGAAGCCCTTGCTCCAAAAGCGGCACCTTAAGGCTCGACTGAAGTTTGCTGCTGATCACATGGACAAAGATAAGACCTTCTGGAGGAAAGTTCTGTGGTCAGACGAAACGAAAATTGAGCTTTTTGGCCACAATGCCCAGCAATATGTTTGGAGGAGAAAAGGTGAGGCCTTTAACCCCAAGAACACCATGCCTACAGTCAAGCATGGTGGTGGGAATATTATGCTGTGGGGCTGTTTTGCTGCCAATGGAACTGGTTCTTTACAGAGAGTAAATGGGATGATGAAGAAGGAGGATTACCTTCACATTCTTCAACACAACCTAAAATCATCAGCACGAAGGTTGGGTCTTGGGCGCAGTTGGGTGTTCCAACAGGACAATGACCCCAAACACACATCAAAAGTGGTAAAGGAATGGCTAAATCAGGCTAGAATAAGGGTTTTAGAATGGCCTTCCCAAAGTCCTGACTTAAACCCCATTGAAAACATGTGGACAGTGCTGAAGAAACAAGTCCATGTCAGAAAGCCATCAAATTTAACTGAACTTCACCAATTCTGTCAAGAGGAGTGGTCAAAGATTCAACCAGAAGCTTGTGGATGGCTACCAAAAGTGCCTAATTGAAGTGAA